TCAGCAGCTGTAGGTTTGCTTCCCACCTTCCTCAGCTAAAGTTTTGGCTGCAGCTTAGAAATGGTTTTGGCATGTTTTCCCCTGGAATGCAGATATTTTGGGATTTTTTTAGGAAGTGGTTCTGCAATTTAAATATATAGTTTGGAAGGTCCCCTGGAAGGTGGGGCATCTTATAGCTGATGGAACAAGAGCACTGACGAGGGCAAATTGTAGAAGAGCATCAGTGAGCCTCTCACAGATCATGCATGAGCTTATCAATGCATTTATTTCCAAATACCAACTGGAATGCAGGGGAAAAAGCCTGTGGGTTTGTTCTTCTTGTTTGTTGCAGTGTTCAACATCCTGTGGAAATGGCATTCAGACCAGGCAGGATTTCTGCCTCAGCTCTCTGACCCGCAAGCCCGTGAACCCCCTTTTCTGCCGGCACTTCCCCAAGGCCCTCGTGGTGCGTGGCTGCTCCACAGGGCCCTGTCCTGAGCAGGAGGGGACCCTGTCCCCTTGGCCAGAGCTGCAGCCAGTGACACCAGCCACACAGCTGACAACAGCTGCAGCTGCCACAGAGCACAGACACAAGGACCTGGATGTCCCTCTGTCTGCTGGGCCCTGGGAGCAGACAGAGTCCGGTCGAGGTGAGGAGGACGTGGCCAAAAGGAGCTTCTTGTGTGCAGCTGGGCTGTGGTGATCCTGCTGCCAGACAGGGACAGGAGCATGGGAGGGAATACATCTGGCTGGGAGGGAAAACCCAGACGTGTTCCAGCACGTCCGTGTTACCCGAGCTAGGAACAGTGACTCTCTTCCCTGTGCTTCCCAAAACTCTTTTGACTTGGGAGCCTGTGGGACAGCAGCTCAAGACTTCAGGGAGTGTTTAAGCAACACTCTCAGGCACATGAGATGTGATGTGATCACATCTGTTATTCCTGGGGTAGTCCTGAGCAGGGCCAGGAGCTGGATTCCATGACCCTTGTGGGTCCCTTCCAACTCAGGATATTCTGTGGTTCTGGGATTCTGTGACTCTTCCTGTGCTTTACCCAGAATATGTGACCTTACCTATTCATTGTGCCACAAAGGGAATTGTATTCCTGTGGTTCCTTCTGGGTGTGTTTCTCACCTGTATCCACTGTGCAGGTGTGTGTGGAAACCTCTTTCTCAGTGCCACTGGCATCATCAACATGACAGGCACGGAGAGCAGGGACTGCATGGTGGCCATCGGGCGTCCCCTGAGGGAGGAGATCTTGGTCACCATCCTGGAGAGTTCCCTCAACTGCAGTGCAGGTACTGCCTGGAGATCTAGGATCCAGCCTGGCCCTTTAGCAAAGCTGCATCTCAAACTGCACCTTTTCTGTGCCTTGAAAAGCTCTGCCTTCCCCAGAGCCTCTCTAATCTCTGAAACCGTTTTACCGAGTTTTTCTGGTCCACCAAGTTGTTGCCAGATGGAACAAAATGAAGATGCTGCTTGTCCTCTCCTCACACAGTGGTTTCTTACCTGTTTTGTTGGTAGATATGAGATGAAAGGAGCTTATGGGGTTAAGGAAGATGCTTGTTTTGGCCTGTTATAAAACTAAAATGTACCCTCTAGCTGGAATCAGCAGTTAGATTAGTTAACTGGCCTATTCTCATGACAGATTTTGATAAGATAGAAACAAGATGCAGAAATTACTTGATTCCAGACCTGTATAGGACAGACTGTGGCTTTTAGTTAAAATAAAAGCATTTCTAGGCTCTGTGCTCATCTGTTCCAGGTGAGGTCCTGCTGTTTTCTGGGCGAATGATGTGGCGGACAGGCTGCAGGAAGCTCCCTCTGTCACTGATAAATTCCAGAACCAACACACTGATTGTGAAACAGCGTGTTGTGCTGCCAGGAAATGGGGTCATTCTGCAGTACAACAGCAGAACTGCAACCAAAAAATATTACCAAGGTACTGTACTGAAAGTTTTGCTCTTCCTTTAGATTAAGGCCCACAGGACTCCATGAATGGTGGTTGCCTATGGAAATCTATGGAAACCTTGATTCATTTTTAGCAACTAGTTGGAATCAGTATTAATTGTGGTCTCCCCCTTTGTTTTAAAGCAAATCCCCCCACAGGTGTTTGCTGATGCTTGAAGGTTCCCAGATGAAAATCCCTAAAGAGACTGTTCTGCCTGTGTTTAATTTAAATTATTTCTCTCTTGGAGGTGCTGGGTTACCCCTCTAAGCCATCTTCTCTTCTCCCTTTGCCCTGTCAGACTGTGACCAGCAGCTGTTTGGCCCCCAGGGTGAAATAGTGACTCCTGTGCAGTTGCCTGATGAGAGGCAGGAGGTCGTGTGTCGGACTTTCATCACGGTGGCTCCGCGGCAGCGCATCTCCATCCGTGCCCTCAACACTGACCTGGGCCTTGAGGGCAACCAGACACACTTCAACTACATCCTGGTGAGGAGGCAGGAACCCCAGTGGAATGATTTGGATGAAGAAAAACCCATCTCCATTAGAGATTTCCACCCAGATGCACAGTTCAGTCACAGATCAGGGACTCTGATCTCTCTTGTGTAAATGTAGATGGGAATGAGAATTTCTGATATCTACTGTATTTCTTCTAACCTTGGTAGCACAGCTTTTTCCCTGAGTGACCAGTCTGCAAGTCTCCAGTATTTTTTAGGTACTTATTTCAATGTGTAGCCTGCTGAGATAAAATGGTTTGGTTTCTCTTCCTGCAGGTCCGAGATGTCAGCACCATGAAGACAGTGGTGTTCCATGGGAAGCAGCAATTCCTGTGGCAGTCAACAGGAAGCCAAGCTGAAATTGAGTTCCATGAAAATGTTAAGGATCACAGAACCCATTTCTGGGCTGAATACCATGCTATTGAGCCCAAATAAAAGCACTGCCCCGAGGAAGGCTCAGTTAGTCACTGCTGCCCGCTCACAGCACATATTTAATCTTCTTGAAACTGCTTCCTCATCTGTTGAATAAGAACATCTGCTGACTCCTTTGGGATCTCACTCTTGATAAAGATCATACAAAAGACATGTAACCCCCAAATATTTAGCAAATCTTCCTCATATGGATTTCCTGACTGATTTGGTTGGCATTAATGCAGGTTACATATCTGCAGGGGGTGACTTGGGCACTGGAGTGTCAAGGTGCTGCCTCTGTAGTGTGGTGGGACTGTTTAGGAGAGTCATTTGATTTTTTGCTGTTCCAGTATAAACCTCTGTACACCACAAGCAATGTTTTAGCCATTAAATTCACTCTCTTGCAGTGTAAATGCCCCTCAAAACTGAGGCACAGTGAAGTTCTGGAATGGAATGAAGAAGGTGAAGATGTGTATGAGGATAAATTGCCAGCACAAGGAGATGTGTGGGGTGGGCAGTGCCACCCTTGGACAGGTCACTCAAAGCTTGAATGTTTTCAGAAGCTGGCTGAGCTGAGGCACTGCTGGCCTGGGCAAGCCCTGGTGACAGCTGGCTTTATGTGGGAGGACTAAATGACATCCTGAGGTCACTCCCCAGCCACCCCTCCTGTGGTTCTACTGTTGGATATCTGACGGTGATACCACCACTTTTTTTCTGTGAGGAAAAAAAAGAATTCTGTCTCTTCTTGCCAGGTTTGATGCCAGGTCTGACTTCTCAGATAAGAACAGTAGCTGTGCTATCAGTCTCTATCTTCATTTGACAAGAACTGTGGTTGAGGCTGCATGGACAAGCTGTGGCAGGAAGAGGGATTTTAGAGCAGTGGCAAATATTCACACAAGTTTCATTTAAATGTATTTTTTTAGGTTATTCATTTTTTTTGTATCTTGAATAATGGGCTGTGCTTTGGTCCAAACCTGTCATCCTCCTCAAAATCACAATATATTGCTTAAAAGGGTCTTTTCTGTACCTGGAGCCTGGCTGGACACATCTGCACTTGCTCTTCATGCTGGATGCAATAAATGGTTCTGCCAGGGCAGTTTTAATCCTGCTCCTGCTTTCTCTCAGTTGGATTCTCTGACATCCTTCTATGACCACAAATACTCTTCTTAATTAATAGCTGTTTGTTTGCTGGTTAAACCTGGGAGTTTTCTGCTTGCCAGCCTCCAGATTTACGTTCCATTCCTGGAAGAGCCAGAAAATAGGTTCCTGAAGGGAGATCCTCGAGGAGCTGGATACATCAGCTATCCCTCTGCAGTGCGTGGGTGATGCAGGCCCTGGGCCTTCATTTCCTGTCTGACAGGAGATAGTAATGAAAAGACATCCTTTCCTTAATCCCCTTTTTGTAACCTTTTAGCAGATGGGATCTGTCTTCCTACTCTGCTCTGGATCCCAAGTCTCTCTGCTATTTATTGTTCCAGATCGACTGTGCAGAGCTGGGCTCTGCTTGTGTTCCATGGGAATCTGCACAAAATGCAGCTGTTGCCTTCATAATTCCGGAGAGTTCAGGGTGTTCCCCTGGCCCATTTGGACACCACCAGGCTGCCAGCTGGGGCATTTACTTGCAAAGTGCTACTTCTGCTCCCATTTCTAGGGAGAAAACCTGATTCCAGTCAGATAAGGGGAGTGCAACCCAATTATCTGCAGAGCAGAATTCTGCAAAAGCTCCCGTGAGTGTGAGGATTCCCGTTTCCCTTGCTGGAAAAGCAAACACTGGCTTGCCTGTTTAACACGACCCATTGCTGGGGGCATCCCGTGCCTGGCGTGTGGCGCCCGGCCGTGCCTGTGCTGGTGAATATGAAGGGCAGAGCTCTGCCCACAGCCTTTTAATGCGAGTGACATCAAAGGCAAAGCCCTGCCTGCTGCCGGGGGGGACCCACAATGCAGCTGGAGAACGCCGTGGAGCAGTTCCAGGCCCGCTGGCATCGCTCTGCAGCCAGACACCCTCCATTGTCAGCCCTGGGGGGCCAGGCCCCGCATGGGGACACGGGGACAGGCCCAGGCCTGGCTTTAGGGGCTGTCCCCTGGGCTGGCCGCAGGACAGGGTGACACCTGGGGGCTCAGGTGGGCAGCAGGGCGCTGAGCCCCCCGGAGCTGGGGGAGATGAGCTCGCAGGATGAGCAGCTCCCGGCAGCTGCAGCCCCCCAGCCAGCGGCCTCCTCCGCCGACGAGGGCATGACCTGGTGGTACAGGTGGCTCTGCAGGATTGCCGGGGTCATCGGGGGCATGTGTGAGTATCCCCTTCCCTCTGCCTGCCCCCTCCTGCATGACACAGCTCGTGTCGGGGTCCCTCGGTGGGCTCACGGTGCAGGGGGGCTGTGCCATGGAGGGTTTTGGGGTGCTGGGTTGGTGCTGGCTCTGGGCACCGGTTTGTCGTGTTTGGGGCAGAAGGGAGAGAGAGGCAGGAATTCAGCTGCCCACAAGGGATGTGCTGTGTGCTCACCAAGCCTGCTGAGCTTTGGCACCCGGCACTGGGGACGTCACGGGGGAAATCTGCAAATCTCAGAGTTTCTTCTTGGGAATGGCATCCCCTGGCAGTGATGGGAGCAGCAGCTAAGCCCCTGGTGCACAAGGAGGGCTGTGGGCAGGCAAATTAGATGGTTTTACTATGAGCACCAGGCTCAGGGGGGGTCAGGTCAGGGCTGGAAGAGTGACGACTGGATTTGGTTTATCCTATTTGACTTTTGGGTGTTTATATGTTCCTGCAACTTATTTTTCCCCCCCTTATCCTGACTGTCAGAGCACATTTCCCATTGCTCCTGTTGCTGATTGCAGAAGGCCTGCCCATGGGTTTTACTGAAGGTGAAGAATGGTTTTGTTTTGTGCTGTGTGTTTTTAAGGGGTTTGGTAGGACACAGAGAACAGAGCTGCAGATGCAGAGTGAGTTGGCTGAGCTCAGAATTACCTGCTGCTAAAAAAAATTTTCCCAGGGAAAGAGTCTCAGCAACTTTGCCAGAAATCAGCCTGTCCTGGAGTGCTGTTTTGCTACATTTTGTGGAGAGATTAATAGCTCTTAAAAGCAGGAGGGACTGTTATGACCGCGTAGTCTGATCTCCTGCAGAGCACAGGATGGAGAATTTCTTCTGCTTCAGGTCCACGACTTCAAGTTAAACAAGAGGGTTTCTCAGCCAGTGCAGTCAGCCCTGATTTATTCCATCAGCAGGAGGTTTGTGTCTGGTCACCCTCTCCCCATGCCCCTTCCCATGCCTGCCTTTTGCCTTGAGGCTGGGCTGCACAACCCCACGGTGGTTTTGGAGCTGACATTTGCACCCTGTGGTATCTCTGGGCAGGTTCCTGACAGCCCTTTTTGGCCAGGCTGGTAAAACATGTGCTGCTCTCTCTGTTTCCTGTGCTGGGTGCTGGAATTCTGGAGGTGTGAGAGGATTTGGTGGGGCTTGCTGAACGTCCCAGCCTCGCCATGCCCTGCTGGAGGCCCCCGCGCTCCTGGCCCGCCCAGCAGGCAGGAGAACCAGCTGGGAAGTGTCTGTGGAGCAGGTCCCAGGTGGGGGTTCAGAGCAACAGCATCTTTCCCACGGGCTGTGGCTGTAGCTGAAGCCTTGGTGCTTTTCCTGCAGTTTTATCCCGTGCAGAGCTCAGGGTGATGTGGATGGAGGGTGAGGAGCTGGTGGGTCACGCTGGTGGCACTTGCCAACCTTGTGAGTGGCTTGAAAGTGCAAATTTCTTATTTTCCCCTCTCTGTCTTTGTGTTTCAAAGCAGCTGAATTATACTTGGATTATTTTCCCAGCCTTTTGTTCGTGGCTCTGCGACAGGAAAGATGAGAGTTTTATGTCTTTGGGTGAGTCTGGGAGAAGCTTTTGGAAGAAGAGCCAGGTTCTTAACAGGGTTTGCCAAAGATTTGGGGAGTGACAGCTGGCTCTGGAGCCCTGACTGTCTCTTTATCAGGCAGGGAAAGAGGCACAAACTCTCCTTACGAACAGGGAAAAGGGAGATTGTGGAAAAAAACAACCAGTGCCCAGTGCTGCCAACATTCCTCTTCAAAATGCTGCTTGTTCAGCACCACCTTGTTGAAGGTGGATGGTTTGGAGCAGAGGTGATGAATAAACGAGCATAGGGTTTGCTGCTGTTCTCAGAGCTCGCTGTGAAAGGACAGAACTAATTTATAAGGATTGTGAGAAACTGGATTGTAATGCTGCTACAGGGCTGGATTATGTCTTACAGAAGGAAAAATTCCCTCAGAAAGGAAGAGAAACTTCGTTAGTGGAGGTGAGACCAGCAGACAACATCTGCCACATGCAAACACCTGCAGCCACAGCTTGCTTCAGCCAGAAAAATCCAAGGGCTGGAGCAAGAACCAGACAGACAAGGTTCAGGATCTGTTTCTGGCTCCTGCTCGTGCTGGCTTGGTGACCTTGGCCAAGTCCTTCTCTCCCTTGTGTTCCTGTTTGTAATGGGACGAGGAGAGTGTGTGGCTTTTGTAAAACGCTCTAGGAGCAAAAATAGTCTTGTGTTGAGGACAGTGACCAGCTGCTGGAAATGAATAGAGCCTTTGTAGGGAAAGGTGTTCTTCCCCCCTCATTTTAGCTCCCAGTTATTTATCCTTCCTCAGGGATTCAAGATGGGACTGCAGTTAAACAAATGGCAGAACTTTCTGTCTCCCATAGCTTACGTGCCACTGAACATTATCTGCATTTTAACCCTGTTGTGAGGCCTCTGTTCGAAAAGAAAATATTTTAAAAAGAAATCTCTGGCTTGGCAGGGGAGGGACAAGGATGTACCAGGCTGCTGTGGGACGAGCAGCTCTGCAAAGGAGACCCAAGGTCACCGAGTCGTTCTGTGTCTGGCTGTTGGCAGCAGCTCTGGGGGCAGTGCTCCTGTGATCCCAAACCTTTGACTCCTTTCCTGCTGCTCCATGCTCCTGCTGACGTGGGGCTTGCTCAGCTCTGTTTCCTGGGTCATTAGCCCTGTGGCAACCAGGGTGTTTGCTGAGCCAGGACTGCTGCAGGGCTGTTTTGGAGTGTTTGGGGACAAAACCAAACCAGAAACCCGGCAAAACAATGCCTGGTTGGTTTGATTAGGGGAAAAAAAACAAAACAACTTGCTTGGAAAAGAACATTCTGCTCTCCTTGGTTTGTTGTGTGGTGGAGACCTGCTGGGAACTGCTCAGACCTCTGTGCTCTGCTAGGCCACTCAGCAAGGCAGGGTCCTGCCCCAGCCCTGCCTGTGTTTTGGGGATAGCTGAGAGGTTTTGCTGCTCTGCTAATTTTAAAGTGCCAGGAAGTCTTTAATAAAGTCTTTAATAAAGTCTTTAATAAAGCCAGCATTATTCTCAGGAATGTCCTTTCCTGGGGGAAAACCAATGCCACAAACTCAGGGGTGCTTCCCCCGAGTTCCTCTTCCATCAGCATCCCCAAGGGTTTGGTGGTCACAGGGAATTACAAACCCCTGTTTTGTGCCCTGCTCTCCATGCTGCCCACAGCTCCCAGGAATCCTGCTTGTCATTGCTCCTCTGCAGCTGTTTGCACGTGTAACCATGAACAGATCATCCTACCCCCGTGCCTCAGTTTCCCCTGCAGCGTGGGGACACTGACACCGGTCCTTGTGGGATGAGAGGATGAGAAGTGCCCTTGGAGCACAGATAACTAGCACATCCTCTGGTA